AATCTTCCCAATGAAACTATTCAGAAATGATTAAATGAATTCAATGACAGATATTAAGTAGCTATTGTCAAGTGTAGAATATTAACTTTAAAGCAAAATGAATCCCATCAAGCTGAATTACATGGTCTTGATTGAAAGTAAACTATAACAATGAAAATTCTAGTATTGACCACTTGTAATAGAAAGTGGTATTTGGTTCATTGCAGATTTAAAAAATGCATTTTCAATGTTCTTTGAAAGTAATTATTTTGTTGTCACACATTGATCTAACCAATGGAAATTCTGTTCTTGAGGCATGGTGTCAACAAGACTCCTCATAGAGTAAATGACAGGAGTTTTTTTTTTGTTGTAAGTCTACAATCTTGATCTCAAGTCCAATTTTCCAAAAGTGCTTTTTCAGTGTTCTAGATGGTGTTCCAAGTGAACACATTACTATAGGAATTACTTCTACATTCATGCTCGATAGTTTCTTCAGCTGCCTAGCCAGATTCTGGTATTTTTCTATCTTTTCAATTTATTTGGAATCTACTCTTGTATCATATAGAACAACAAAATCAATCATTATTCCATGAATTATTCAGACTAGTATCCTTATCTTTGTTGTATTCAACTCTCCAGCCTTCCTAGTGTTGTCTAAAGTTCTCAGATGAAGTATTGTCATTATTCCATGAATTATTCAGACTAGTATCCTCATCTTTGTTGTATTCAACTCTCCGGCCTTCCTAGTGTTGTCTAAAGTTCTCAGATGAAGTATTGTCATTATTTCATGAATTAGACTAGTATCCTCATCTTTGTTATTTAAATCACTATATTTCAGTAAATGTCTTCTCCAACCTTCTTCAAGCAAATGTTATATCTAAAAAATCTTTTGACAAATTTGAGACTAATTCATAAAATAATAGCATGTTTAAATTGCTTGCATTTCATTTATAGAAATTTCTTTCTTGCCAATGACTTATCTTTTAATGTTGATTTCTCTTCTCCATAAATATCTCTACTTAGTTTAAACTCAACCTTTCAAGAAACATTTTGTAGATGAAAAGATTTGCGGTAAAACTACAACCACCAGATTTCAAAGAAAATAAATTTTTGCCTAGATTTATATTTTGGTTTCAAAATAAAAGTGATACTCTATGCAAGAACATAAAAAAGTTTTTATCTATGAAAAAGAATTTAAACTAAACATTTTTGCTATTTAAAAAAAATTGTGGCAAGTGATGGAGACAATAAGGAATTTATTCCAAATTTCTTCACTTTTAGAGTTATGTTGTTTCTTTCATTTTTTTTTTCCAGATGTTACACACAAGATTTAAAATATTGTTTGGACTATTGTTCTCATCTTTATTGTCATATTCACAACATTTCGGCCGTTGTACACTCTAGTCTTCTTCAAGTGATATATGTTGAAATTTCAAACCAAACCATTTATTTCGGCCACCAGGATAGAATGTTCTAGTTCCACGTACCATACCATTTCTGGACATATATTTTGTTCACCTCTGCTGTGGCCAGGTATTGAACTCACAACTCTTTGGGTCAAATCACTGGATTACTTAAACCAACACTTTTCTATGTGTCCTTGAGGACTGGGACAATCTACCCCGGTGGATGAAATAAAGGGTTCAGTTTGAAATTCCAACGTATATCACCTGAAGAAGGCCAGAGCGTACAACATCCGAAATGTTGTTAATATGACAATAAAGATGAGGACAACAGTCCGAACAATGTAAATAGTTACAATACCGCATCTCAGAAATATAGACACAAAGATTTCAAAATTTTGTTTATCAGAGCCTTTAAAAGTCAAAAATAAATTTTAAAAACACCTTCTTATGTATGTGATTTACAAAAGTGAGGTGAAGTTTGTTAATACTACCATGTTTACTTACCTTATTGCCAGACTATAAATACTAGGCTGGAAAAATGTTTGTAGCATTTTTCAATAGGTGGCATTTGAAAACATGTTTTCTTTTTCTGTTTTAACATATGACTGACATTTATGACATATACAAATTCTGAAAGGTGACATTTTAACATGTCTGATTATATGATTCATGTGTCAGTCAAGTATTTTAAATGTTTTCACATTAAAAGTGAAAAATGAAGGAAAATGAAATGCATTTGATGCTCATTCATTTCCAAAGGAAAAAAAAAATATATAAACAGCAAAACATGTGTGCCATTTATGGATATGGCGACACATCTGAGATTCTGGATCAGAAATGGAAATTATGATCTGGAAAACCATGAATATTCTGGCAGACCTCAAGTTACTAATGACCAAATTGAAATACTGATTAAAAATAATCCATATCACATGATATGAGGCATCATAGAGATACTTATAAGTGTTTCAAGGCATTTGTAAACACTTGGAAACATGAATCGCTATGATGTTTCGGAGCCTCACAATTTAATGGAAAATTATTTAATGGACCCAGTGCCAGATTTGCCTATAGGCTTAGCAGGTTGAAGCCTAGGGCCTCAAAATCTAGGACTCCTCTGAGGTTTTTAATATTTTTATCACTGTCATAAGCTTTTCTTACACATGCTGTTAACGCATTGTAGACTCTAAACTACCCATCAGTAATTTTAAACACCCGTCATCATCTTCGGCTTAAATTTAACACGCTTCCATTTTCCTCTACTCATGAGAATGCAGGATTTGAAGGGGGCCTCACCAGTGGAATAGCCTAGGGTCTCTCTTCATCTAAATCCAGCTCTGAATGGACCATATTTCCATGAACTCAAATGCAACAAAAACAAACCATTTTTAAAAAGAACAAGCAAGAGCGATGATAAATTGATTTTTTCCTACAATGTGGAGCAAAATAAGTTCTGGGAAAAACAAAAAGCCAGTCTACATCCAAAGAAAGTGATGCTGTGTATCTGATAGTATTGGAAGAACATTATTATCAGCTCTTTCTACAAAATCAGATATATACTGTTCCCAATTGGCCCAATTAAAGGCTGACTTCATTACAAAAGCATTCAAAATTGACCTATTGGATGGGTGTTGTTTTCCATCAAGACAACATTATATCTCACATCTCTTTGCAGACCAAACAGAGATTAGTACAACTTGGACAGTAAGCGCTATTACAACTGCTATACTCACTTGACCTTGCACCTTTGGATTACCACTTATTTCAATCCCTACAAAATTCTCTTAATTAGAACTTCAGTTCTCTAAAAACTGTAAAAACCACTTAAGCCAGTTCAGCACCCAGAAAGATGCCAAGTATGAAATCTGGGAGGATGGACTCATGAAGCTGCTGCAAAGATGAAAGGTAGTAGAAAAAAATGTCACATATGTAGTTGAATAAAAATATATCTGTCTTTGAAATTCTCCTAACAAACGCTATGAACTTTTATTCTTACACAATGTTTGAGGGATGGAGTTAGAATCATCATTTAATTCTGTAAAGATTATTTATTTAATAATGATTAGATTACACTACAGGACAGGAAAATACATAATAAATTGTAAATCGTGGAATGTAGTATTCTCATGGCACTGTTAAAGTTTGAAGCTTCCTTAAGTTAAATAAATAAAAAAAATGTCAATTTTTTAACTAAAGAAAACAAAACAAAAATTATATATACGAACAACAATCTTTGTCAGTATCAGAATTTGCAGATGGTAATAAATTTTTATAAAATAGATAAATTAGAAGGTGATATTTGCTAACACACGACCCTTGGAAACACGTTTTCTTTTAAACTAAATAAACTTTGACTTAAAAAAAAAACATTATTCTTCTTATTTATTCTCTTCTCTTACTTGTTAGATCTATTCTCCATATTTCGAAATTGACTAATTTTATTTTTAAAATAATTAGCATCAATTTAGAGATTTTAATAAAATATTTAATTAAATAAACCGTAATAGCCCTAAAAATGTAAATGTTACTGACCCAATTTTGTTTGATTATTTAAAAAATAAAAATAAAAATATATTAAGTCATATGAAGTTTTTCGCCCCCAAAAATATTTTTGTAGTCTGTCTTTTTCATTATCAACTCAAAAGGTAATTGCAGGCTGAAACTTTAACGAAAAAAGAAATGATTATGAAAACTTTTTAAAGGTAGAATCACACGTAGTAAGTAACTACCACTAGTTCTAAAAAAAAAAAAAAAAAAAAAAAAAAATATACAACCGGTAGATTTTTTTTTTTTTTTTTTTTTTTTTGGTATTTAATTTTTATCTCATCAAATAAGAGATTGTTTTTGTGTAAAAAGCTGCTCTATAGGCATTTCTTATCAACTGATACAAGATGATAATCCTATCAACAATTGTTGAATTGACAAATAAATACCTGTGTGTCACTCTCTGTAAGAAAACATGACCCTCCAGAAAAGAAAAAGTAACAATCGGCGACGACCCGAGTGAACACGACTCAATCGTCATGCTGACGACGAAACAAACAAGTTTATAGCTTTTTAAAAAATATTAACAAACCTATTTCAATAAGTAAAGGGTACTGGTATTTAAATAAATATAAATTACAAATATAATCGAAATCTGTTACAAAAAAAATGGGAAATCAGTTGGCTAAAAAAAAAAAAAATAATAATAATAATATTGATAATAAACCACAATTTTTAAAAATTCCTATAAGATTTAAAAACTGTTCTTTCAATATGATATTATTATTATTATTATATATACACTTCAATAATTTGATAACATGTTTATTTAATGTTAATAATCTTATATTTCAACATCTTTCCCCTTGACATATTGTTTAATATTGGGACTTGAAAAAAAGAAAACATTTTATTATTTCAATAATTTTAAACGCATTCGTAAACAAAAAAAATCCCCCCCAAAAAACTTAAATCAAAGTGAAATAACAACAATAATTTTTTTAACCACACGAGCATGTAAAAGTAAAATCAAATCAAACAAAAAGATTCAGATATAACAAGTTGTTATTGAAATTTTTTCTCGCTTATTTCTTTTTTCGCTAATTTGTTATGATCATTTTTTCTACCTACCACTAACTTCTTCCGTGCCCTCCGTCAATATATCTTTGGTAAAGTTGGACAACTGACCAGTTATCGTCGAAATACTTCCACCGAGCCATGACATGATGATTCTTACTCTCGGTACACTGAACCTTCAACAAGCAACAATATTAAACCATCATCATTTCCGAATAATACGCACAACACCTCACCAGCTGACACTGCAAATGTATTAGTATTGTTCCAACTCAAATTTGCCAACGCGACGTCCGCCATTTTGTTCCTGCACGTCACGCAGGCGCAATGAGTCGTCTGCTTTCAGTGAGTAAATCTTTGTCAATTTCCATAAAAACTAATTTTCAACGCTTCATTAAGGTTTAATTAATTAAAATCTCTCACTTTTAGAATGGGTCGCCTAATTCTGACCTATGACCTCTAGAAGAACTTGCATCTACATGCTATTAAGTAATATTTCTGTAGTTAAAGTTATAAAGTACTAGTTAATAAGATTTCAAATAAGAAAAAGTTACTGACAACAAAATTAAAGATGATATGGAAATAAAATAACTTAAAAAAAATTATTTCAGATTAAAAATATAAAATTGAATTCCCGCTTATGGAGTTTTTTTGGGTTTTTTTTAATTTAATATATTGCTATATTTTACCCAAATTTACTCAATTTGAAAAGTTATCAAGTACTCAAAATTACAAAATATAATGTAACATTTTTTTAATCATTTATTAAGTATCATGAATTTTTCTGAAGAATATTAATTTTTATTTATGCAATTATTGATATACAGTCAAAGCTCTAATAAAAATCTGAAAAAAAATAAACATGCAAATTTACTTCCATAATTAACACATTATTGCAGCAAGAATCATTTATAAGTGTTCTTCAATTTATTGTTATTAAATATACATATTTTGGCAAGGAAACTAGCAAAAACTGTCTTAAATCATTGTAAATATTATTTGCTAAAATAGGTTACAATTTATTTATTGATTTAAACAGTTTTATCCCAAGTTTGGAATAACCATTCTTGTAAATAAAATAAACAATATACAATATAATTTACTTATGATACAAAAACAAACAATACATTACTTATCCTCAATGTCATGTTAAACTGTAATGATAAAGATCAAATACTAAGTGTCTATCATAAATCTGAATTTGTATCCCTCAATATTTACATGAAGAGGAGAAATAAAAATGATCTCATAAACTTCTATTCACACAAAATAACATCCAAAATAATTATTAGCTTTTATTTAAAAGCACTTAAAATTTGTAGGGGAGAAATACATTGATAATACTTTTAAGCTCCTCCCAACACTAATTATTTCATATTCAACACAAAACAAAACGCATATAAAATATTTCAAAATAGAAGAGTGGACCATTCTGATAAATCCAACAAATTAAAATATATTGTTCTACCCACCAATTCTATCACGACTACAGCTGAAAAAAAATTATCTAAGCTTAATATAAAATTTATTAAAACTATTTCTAAACCAATAAAAGACTTAATTAATACAAAATAAAATAATAATATGCTAAAACTTGGAGGAAGAATTTACCTGTAATAATTGTCACAAGGAATATATAGAAGAAACCTCAAGGAATTTAAATAAAAGGTTATATAAAAACAATAAACTCAAAGCTTACTGTAACAAGTCTGACCATAATCCTGATTTAAGAAATGCTGCTCTAATTAAAAGAGATAACTATTTACTAAGACAAAACAGTATACAAAGTGCTTTAATTGCAAGATCATTCATAGTAAATTTACATTCAAGTTCTTTCAACATTTCACCTTACTTGGTAGATCTATTATCACAAAGTAGGATATTTAATAACAAAAGTGATAAAAATATAAACAAAAAGAAAAAATGAAACCAGCAAGACTATATATCCAAACACATCACTTTAGTCCAATGAAGTCCTAAATGTCGAATGTGCCATGCAAAAACTTTACACTTTATCATAGATTTTTCCATAACTAGATTTAGCATATCCTACAAACTTACTTTTTACAAAGTTTTTAAAGGTAAAATAAATTTGCTTGTTTTCAGTAATTTTATAAAAAATCATAAAAATAATCATGAAAATCATAAAAAATTCATGAAAATAATCTTCATTTTTCATTTGCTGAATTTCATTTTTTGATTGAAATAATTTTGACTATATCTTATATTGATGATATGATTAAGATTACTTATATATACTTCACATATATATATATATATATATATATATATATATATATATATATATATATATTTATATATATATATATATATATATATATATATAAATCCTAGTGAACCAGAAACTACCTACCTCAGTTTCACTTAAATGGATCTTCAGGGTATATATTTACAGTAAGGGTCATCTTGTACAAGGCCACTTGAGACAGAGGGTTACGTTAGGAGGCAGCTTTTTCAGATAGGAGGGGAACATAAACAGTTAACTCTAGACTTGAACTTGGGAGTCAGTTCCACAGAGCAGTGGTTCACGTAAAGAAGCTCTTTGAGTGGAACTTACTTCTCACTGATGGAATACGAAGGGAATGTAGGTGGTTTGCTACAATATAAGTATCATCGGCAATGATGGAATATAACACAGTTTGGTTTTTGAGGCATTGAATGCAACCAGAAAGTTTACTACTCACTGGGTAGTTCATGCTAGATCAGAAGATTGATCAGTTGCCAATCTCTGATCATCAAAAGTTTTAGAGGTGCACCTGTATATAGTCATATCATCAGCATAGATGTTTATGATCTGATAATATTCTTAGGTAGATCACCTATGTAAATCAAAAAGAGGGTTGCTTCAAGAAGTTGACTATTAATAACTACTTTCAGGAACCTACCTGTTAGGAAGGATTTAATAATTAAGAAGACTCTTCCAGTGTATATGCGTGTGTGTATTTCCCCCTTCCACTCACCTCTATAAAAAAAACCCTCTCTGTTAAGTTTTAATCTCCCACCTTCTCTCGTCTGTTACCCATCTCTTTAGCTCTAACATTCGTCCCACACTCTCATACTTACACTCTCTCGAAATTCTATTTTTATTTCCAGAGTGGTTTTTTTCTGTTTTCTTTTTGAATTTGTAGGTCTGATGAATTGGATCGTATTTACGATTCCAATGGAATAAATTTTGACCATGAAATATTAATGTTTAAGCCTTTTTATTATATCCTTACTCTGTCCTGGACATTGAGTTCTACCTGGATTCTATCCTCTTGGAATTTTTTACTGAAAAAATATACATGTATGTGTATGCACCTATGTATATATATTTATATATTTTGCATATGTATGTGTATATTTACCACTAATATTATCATATATATATATATATATATATATATATATATAATTATTTAATTATTTAATTTCCTAAAAATTATATATATTATTAATAAATATACATATTATCCCTCACTAGTAGTATGACTCGGAGTTTTATGCACAACGCAATCTTCAGGTAGTGGGTATACACTGATTATTACATAATTTAAATTTTAATAAAAATCATCTGGTTAGCACAGTCATATATTATACATGAAATGGACAAAGTCCGACAATTATTATAAGACATTTTTATTTGTATCTATAAAAAAGTATATATAAACTTGTCCATTTCATAATGTGTGACGTTATTTGTTTACATTTGGATATGCATCGAGCAGATATGAATGTACATGAGAAAATCATGGAAAATTGTAGTTTAAAAACAATAAAATCAACCTTGCTAACCGAAACACTCCTCTGTGGTGAAATCGGTAAAAGCACATCAGGCTATATGATGGTTCCGTATAGGATATAGGTTCAATTCCTGTCAGAGGACGCATATTTTCTATGACAATTTCTCAGACATTCAGGCCTTTAAATGTTGTTAATACTGTTTAATAAACAGTATTAACAACATTTACACAGAGCATTTACTTACATATTTGTATCTATAAAAATGAATGTATAAACATAAAAATGTCTTAAAATATATATATATATATATACCCAAATATATAATTGATATATATGGAATGAATTCCAATAACCAACAATTACTATACTTAAAAGAGTGCTCAATACAAAGTAGAGCAGATATAATTATTTTTTATAACATCATCACTTGATAAGACACAGAGGGTGTTGAAACAAAATGGCTATTTTGTAGTGATTTTATAACATATTTATGTTATAAATTTTTTATAATTATATATATATATATATATATATATATATATATATATATATATATATTAGTGTATGTGTATAAAAAAAATTTACTTTGGAGTTGTGAATATTAATTTTTTATATTAAGTATAAAGGGAGATTACTGGTTCTTTAAAAAAACAAAAAAACATAATTTACATTAAAAAATTTACTTTGGAGTTGTGAATATTAATTTTTTATATTAAGTATAAAGGGAGATTACTGGTTCTTTAAAAAAACAAAAAAACATAATTTACATTAAAAATTAATCTGGATCAACATATTTCAGCAGATATTTGTTTTTATGCTAACATGTAACCATCAAATCTTTTCACTTGTTTAATAAGCTAGAGTTATTTAAGTGTTTTAAGATAACTAATTTTTCAGCAATGCATAAATTACATCTAATACCTTTCCCATTGTAAGATTTGGCCCTTGCTACAATATCCCATGAAATAATAGATGTATTACTATTCTTTAATTGCCAGAAATACTTGGAGAGAGCAGTGTTGTTTAAGTATTTTATATTGCCTAGTCATTCAATGAAGATAGAAATGAAATTTCCATGGATTTTCAGTTTAACCAAAATAAAATTGACATTGTTACTGGAATGTATGCTAGCTCAACATACAATGTTATCAGTCATACATTGGCCGTTTAAGGGACAGATCATATGTTTTCAGCAGTTGATTTTATTTTTTTTAAAATGAACTTTGTTGGACATGTATCTGTTTAATATAATATTGTTATGTTGGGATATAGATTTATCGATGTTCCTAATGCAGTTATAGCTGATATTAACATTATTCTTGTTAAAAATCTTTTTTAGTGTTGTTGAATGATTAAAGTGCTTATGAATTAAATTTTGGAAAAGTCTTCCAATATTCATTTGAA